GTTCCGGATGTGCTTGGATTTTGTGCCCGGTCCGAAAGCCGCTCCGGTGAGGTGCTAAATCGAAAGAGTGATCCAGATGAATCCTGGTCTCATGAGATTAGTTCAGATCGAGACGGCGCTCCGAGGGGAACATATTGACGACGAAACAGACCGACCGATTTCAGATCTTTCATGCCATAACTATATTACCCTGGTCAGTGTGGACGTCGAGCGATCTTTTTCTCGATGCAAAGGAATCCTTTCGGACCACAGGCATTCGCCGACTCCAGAGAATTTGAAATATCATCTGATACCGATGTGCAATGTGACAGAGTGTGAACCGTAATCTTTTTCTAATAAACTCCTGAGCGTTCCTCGTCACCAAGCATCTTGAACCTGATGACATCGGTCCAATCTTTCTGTCTCGCTGCCCATTTTCGTCGATCTCGGAAGAATTCTTACCTTCCTGATTCGTTCTTCGCTCATTTCGAGGAAACACCTTGTGGGCACCCCTTGCTTCGCCTATTTCGCCGAAATCGCCTATCTTCGACGAATAAAGGTGCCGATTCCTACTATCTTCTCCTATCTCCCGTTCCCCCGTTTCCGCGTTTCCCCGCTCTCCCGTTTCCGCGTTTCCCCGATCTCCCGTTTCCCCGATCTCCCGTTTCCCCGATCTCCCGTTTCCCCGATCTCCCGTTTCCCACTCAAATAATTTTTTCAAGGTCGAGGACTCATCGCATCGGAGAACTGACCTCCCTTTAAGCACCGGTGGATCCCCCAGAACACGCTCCTGAATTTTCATGGCGGACAGACAGACAGACAGACATACATTCATTTTTGTATATATGGATAGAGATTAGCCGTAGTTCTATGTATTTTGTTGGGGAATTCATTAGGGAAAGGGGCGAAAGAGTAGACTGACTCCATATGCGGTCATTCTGGGGGTTCAATGGCGTATGAGGTGTTGATTCAAATCCGGAAAGCGCATGGTGGGCTCTTTGCGAAGCTTAGGATGTTGAGATGCAACAGAAGAAACGTAGGATCGTGTTGAGGATAATCACTTTAAAAATTTATCGCGAAACTTTGCGGTATACGTTGTTTTTAGTATAGCTTTTGGCGGTTGATATGGCGATGCCGGTTCGATTCCGGGCTCGAGACAATGCAACGTATAGCTTGTCTATGGGTGAAAACCGGCTGGGTTAGGTCTATGGCGATACGTGAGAAGGACTGCCCATGCGACTTGCTCATGGTCATAGAGAAACTCAGTCGAATTGGGAATGGCGTCGAAGTCGAAATGGTAGAGCACGATGGGTGCAATAGCCATCGATTCTGGGGATTATGACTGGTCAACCTTTGGCGTGACCCGACGCGAACTTGCATACTATAATTCGAGGGTGAATTTCTGTTATAAGGCAAGTTTCATTGCACAGACCATTGCTGACGTCCAAGTTCCTTAGGAGCATTACAATGCAGCCTACTTCCAAGTTGAGCACATGCGGAGGAAGACTCGATGGTTGTAACTTGCTCAAGAATTCCGCAGGGAAGTTGAGGACATCACTGGGATCTTCGACCATAGCCTAATCCTCGCTCAAACAAATCGTTGTGTCGCCTGGGAGCCTCTGGAGCACGTACTCATTCATCGTTGATGTTTCGGCGTCTTTGGGGGTAAGAATTGTGACGTCGGTGAAGCCAATTTCAGCATTGGCTAGAGCTTCATTTGGATAGATTTCATCAGCCAGATCAGTTGAGCACGACATCTCTGGGGGAATCTGAAGGAGCCATCCGTCCGTTGTAACTCGAATGTTCTGCTGGAGATGGAGAATGTGGGAATGTTGCCATAGGGGCGATTTTCAGAGACAGGAGTCGATGATTCGCTGTCGCGATCCTTTCTCGACAACGGGTGGAATCTGTCGGGAGTCGCCGCCTAATGTCATCATTTTACCCCCGAAAGGGGAAGATTTCTGCATGATGTCTTGTAATAAGAGATCGACAGTGTCAAGAGAGGTTCTTGGAGCCATGGGTGCCTCGCCCCAAATTATTATATCGGTGTCTCCGAAACTCTGTGCCTCTTGCGATTGACGTCTCATCGATGGCGTGTTACTGTCGTCCTGGATGACCCATCTGAACGTCGAAGTAACGGTCCGGCCGCAGGGAAGTAGATTCGCAGCGATGCCCGTCCACGCGACACTCACAACTTTGCAGTAAAAAGCAGTAAAAACTTTGCTTGTAGAGAAATGTTCTCTCGCTGCCGCCGGGTCCGTCTACGAAAAAACATCGCCAGGAACGATTATGCATAACAATATTTTGTTGAGTATTGAGGAGATCGTTTGAGATGGTCGTGGTGCGGAGCCTCTGGCGCTGGCAATAATTTTTTTTGCATATATTTTTTTTTCATGACATAATTCAGTCGGAGGGTGAACAAACAATGTACGCGAGTGATTACGATGGCGGAGAGACGATCGTGAGATTTTCTCAAAACGACTGCAAGTCCCGGAAGTGTGTGTTCCTCGAGCGAGCAGCCAATGTCGTGAGCAAAAAGAAGTAGCTTCCAGTCATACCTGCTGTCCGTAGCAATCGTGGCGCTAGGATTCTCGGCGTACTTGTAGATCGCCGAAGGACTTGGAGGAATTCTGATGTCGGAGCAATATCCTCGCCAATTGTGTCCGAGGACAGGGCAAGATTTGGCGAGGCATTCCCCAAACATGCGGTGTGAGTCTGTGTCGGGCCCGCCGTGGACGTAAGGATGGAGTTTGCGCCGGAGTTGTTGGTGACGGAATTCGATGTCGCGTTGGTCCCATGCTTTCACCGGCAACAAGCAGGTGGTTGCGGCGCATTCGCGTCCTCGAGGCGAGTGCAGTATAGCGAGTATTTTCGACGGGCAGCTCTCAGTCTCGGCATGCTCTTACTTTTCCCGTGTGGAAGTTTCAAGAGATGGGTCTCAAAGTGGCTTTCTTTGGCAACTCGTTGTCGAGTTGAAATAAGTCTAGAACCCATCTCAGTGTGTGCATTCCGATGTCGGGGTGAGTTTTTGTTTTCTTGATGGATGGAATGTCTGTGATCGACATGCGACCTAGGACCTATTCATTTTCGATGCTGGATGGACTCCGGTATCCATATGCAAGAACAGCTTCAGTTCCCGCGAGTCTGCCGTAGAGGGACATCGTCGCACCACTCTGCGTAATTTATGGATGGACCGCCGCACTTGAGCGCCTTAGGGCCCACTGATTGTTTTCGGAAATACGTCGTTCGGGACGCTTCGCCGCTTTGAAACAAGATTAAGGATTTCCGAACACAATATAAACTCATTCGGGTATTCGGGCTGGAAAAAAATTTAGTGCTAGGTCGGCCGGCGGCCGAACCGAAGTTCGCGTAGAAATACGTCAATGTGCTCTGGAGTCATAATCGAGAATGATAATCACGCGATTGTCAATCAATTTTCGAACCAGGATGAACTCCGACCCCAATTCACAGTCCTCGACCTATCCTCATCGGATGATGGCGAGGTACTCCACTCAGCAACTCAAGTCCAAATCAGGCTTGCGCAATGAAACAATGTCATCATATCAGATTTACAGATATCCATGAGCAGTCTTCAATCCATATCCGATTTCCGAGGTTTCGAACAAACTATGCAGACACTAGAAAGCGTCAGAAATGAATCCCCAACGTCAGCCATCGGAACGACCGTCGAGGCATCGTCCCCCACAAGTCGCCACGATTCTGATCGGCTGAGAAGTCGCATGATAGACGGCCGTCTCCAGTGGCGTGCTTCCCCATGGTACCGCCCGGGGCGGTCAACGAAAATTTTCATTTTTCGGACGCGATCATCCAGAGCCGCCCCTGTCCGAATATTTTCCGTGAGAAATTTCGGAAATTTTCACAAAAATACCCGTTTTTTTTAATGTCGATCACCAAAATGCCGCCCCCCGAAAGTGCCGCCCGGGGCGCACTGCCCTCCCGGCTGCCCCCGGAGCACGCTACTGGCCGTCTCACTGATCGCCGTTTGCGGACCACAACACTACCTGCTGAGTAGAGTAGCTACACAGTCTCGGGATCATGGGGATCATGTGCTCATGCTGAACCTCCGCTTTCGAGACATTCGCCTTGCCTCAGCTATGAGAAAGCTGTGAAAACAAGGTAGGCCTCAAATCGCCTCGGCGACTGCCGTTCCGCAGATTCGCAGGTCTTCGCCTCGCATATTTTCGAAATCGGCGCGGTCATCTCCGATGCACGTCACTTCCGTTACATCTCCCGGGACGATCGAGTAGATTCGAGCCATCGGGATAATAAGAGTCATAAGTGCATTCTGATCTCCGGGATCATGACGGTCACCTTCCTCAAAGAGCTGCAGAGACAAAGTATATGCCTCAACTAGGTTCGGCGACTTCCGTCCGGCAGATTCGGTGGTCTTCGCCTCGCGTATTTTCAAACTAGGCGCGCTGTTCGCCGATGCACGTCATTTCCATGACATCCTCCGTGACGGTCTTCTCACCCGATGGGGTCTGTAGGTGAAAGCAATGACGTATTTCAACGTCAAAAGATTCAATCAGATTCTCGGCAATCATGATTTGATCTCCCAAAGCCGTGGTCGGATTCTGCCCGAAGGGTGCGGCGGATCCTCCGACGGTATGCTGCCGGCTTCTGGCGCGATTGTGTGCCCGGGAGGCTGGTTTGCGCTGGTCTCGATCATGTAGGTGTGCCTATGTCTGTCGGTTTCGGATCTCATCCGCAACCAAGTAGCACCTCTCTGAGACTTAAGCCTGTACTCCATATTCGGCAAAGATCACTATGGCCGAGACTCTCATCGCCACGCGCGCCAGCTGACGATGAGATAGAAGATCTAAAGACATTATTTGTCGTCTCTCCCTCAATACGGTGCGCGGTTTGCTCCGTTTGAGTGGCGCTGGAGGAGAAGGCGCCGTGATCGTTGATAGACGTAAGAGCCATTCGACGTCCGTTTCAACCGAGTTATCTCGCAATTTGTTAGTGCCAAAGACAATCTATGCTCCGACAGTGAAAACATGAAGATCTTCTACTCAGGAGGTAGGCTGACACAGCTTTATCGGAACCGAATACAGTTCCGAAGATCATCGACGGACGTGCGGACGATCAAAAAAGTTCTAGTCGCGAACCGAGGCGAAATAGCAATCCGAGTGTTCAGAGCATGTACCGAGATGGGAATACGCTCTGTTGCGGTGTACTCCGAGCAGGACAAGATGCATATGCATCGACAGAAAGCTGACGAGTCCTACCTGATAGGCAAGGGACTGCCTCCGGTACAGGCGTACTTGAACATTCCCGAGTACATCCGAATCGCTAAAGAGAATGACGTGGACGCAATTCATCCAGGATACGGTTTTCTCTCCGAGCGCGCGGACTTCGCTGACGCCTGTATCAAAGCCGGGGTGCGATTCATCGGACCGTCGCCCAAAGTCATGGCACAGATGGGAGACAAAATAGCCGCTCGTAAATGTGCCATAGAATGTGGAGTGGCTGTGATCCCGGGAACAGATGCTCCGCTGCAGGACGTCGAACAAGCTTACGAATTCTGTCAGACGCATGGTTTGCCAGTGATGCTGAAGGCCGCCTACGGAGGGGGAGGCCGAGGGATGAGGGTGGTCCGGACTCTCGATGAGGTGCGCGAAAACTTCAGTCGTGCGGTCTCCGAAGCGAAAAGCGCTTTCGGTAATGGCGATATGTTCATCGAGAGATTCATCGAACACCCTCGTCACATCGAAGTGCAGATGCTCGGTGACAAAGCCGGTGAAGTCGTTCATTTGTACGAGAGGGATTGCTCAGTTCAGAGGCGACATCAAAAAGTCATCGAAATCGCCCCCGCTCTCAATATACCCGAACACGTACGGAAGGCGATGCACGAGGACGCCATCAAGCTGTGCAAACATGTGGGATACGTCAACGCGGGGACAGTCGAATTCCTGCTCGACGAGGACGGACGTCATTACTTTATCGAAGTCAACGCTCGCCTGCAGGTGGAGCATACGATCACGGAAGAGGTCACCGGTGTCGATCTCGTACAATCACAGATTGAAATAGCCAGCGGAAAGACATTAGCCGACCTGGGCCTCCTACAGGAAAACATAAAAGCGCAGGGATGCGCAATCCAGTGTCGAGTCACGACAGAGGATCCTGCAAAGAGTTTTCAGCCGGATTGCGGCAGGATCGAAGTTTTTCGGAGCGGTGAGGGTTTCGGCATCCGACTCGATGGAGCGTCGGCTTTCGCGGGTGCCATAATTTCGCCTTATTACGATTCGCTCCTGGTGAAGGTGATTTCTCACGCGAGCACAATGAAATCTTCGTCGAGTAAAATGGAACGCGCGCTCCGAGAGTTCCGGGTCCGAGGTGTGAAAACTAACATCCCATTCTTGTTGAACGTCTTCCAAAATCCCACCTTCCTCGGCGGGAAGTTCGATACGAATTTCATCGACCAGCACCCAGAGCTGTTTCAACTTGCGCCCACCCAAAACCGAGCCCAGAAGCTTCTCTACTATCTCGGGACCGTCACGGTCAACGGTCCTCAGACCCCTTTGGCCACGGGTCTGAAGCCCGCTACGATCAAGCCCATCGTCCCAGACCATGATGGTACGGTTAAGCCCCCTCGAGGATTCAAGGATATTCTCGACAGAGACGGACCCGAGGGTTTTGCGAAAGCCGTGCGCCGTCACAACGGTCTGCTCCTGATGGACACGACTTTTCGGGATGCGCACCAATCTCTCTTGGCAACTCGGGTCCGAACCATCGATCTTTTGAAAATCTCCCCGTTCGTAGCGAATAAATTCAGCGATTTCTACAGCTTAGAAAATTGGGGTGGCGCCACATTTGACGTCGCAATGCGTTTCCTGCACGAGTGTCCTTGGGAGCGTCTGGAGGAAATGCGCAAACTCATCCCGAACATCCCGTTCCAAATGCTGCTCCGAGGGGCTAACGCGGTCGGTTACACCTCGTATCCCGATAACGCTGTCTACGAATTCTGCAAAGTTGCTAAGAACTCCGGAATGGATATTTTCCGAGTTTTCGACTCGCTCAACTATCTGCCGAACATGATGCTCGGAATCGATGCCGTGGGCAAAGCCGGCGGAGTCGTCGAAGCCGCCATTTCCTACACCGGAGACGTATCCAACCCTGAAAAGACAAAGTACAACCTAGAATATTATCTCAAACTCGCCGACGAGCTGATAAGGGCGGGCTCCCACGTTCTCTGTATCAAGGACATGGCTGGTCTTCTCAAACCTGAAGCGTGTCGAATCCTCATCGGAGCCTTGCGAGAACGACATCCCACAGTTCCCATCCACGTTCACACACACGACACGGCCGGGGTGGGCGTCGCATCGATGGTCGCTTGCGCTGAGTCGGGAGCCGACGTTGTCGACGTCGCCGTTGACTCCATGTCGGGCATTACGTCGCAGCCTACTATGGGAGGTCTGGTAGCATGCCTCCAGCATACTTCTCATGATACCAAGCTGAACCTGCAGGACATCAGTCAATATTCTGCATACTGGGAACAGACTCGGACTCTGTACGCGCCTTTCGAATGCACGTCTACGATGAAATCCGGAAACGCCGACGTCTACGAGAACGAGATCCCGGGTGGACAGTACACAAATCTGCAGTTCCAAGCCTTCAGTTTGGGATTGGGAGAGCATTTCGAAAAAATCAAGAAAGCCTACACCGAAGCCAACCAGCTTCTTGGTGATATCATCAAAGTGACGCCATCGTCGAAGGTTAGTTGAACCGCCTGCTGCTATAATGCCAGCAATCGATCATGTGCTTAGGTATGAATATCATATTCATGGTGTATGGCTAACAGGTGGGCCCAGGGAGGAATGCTCCGATCGGTCGAGCTCCTCCTTTCGATTGAGCTGTTGTTATTGTCACACTCACGGAGAAGCTCAAGCGGGATTTTGAATAACAGTCCGTATCCTCGAACGCTTACCGCTCCGCTCGACGTATATTATCGCGGCGAGCGGCCGAAACAGGGCAAAGGCCGAAGCTCGAAGGTTTTTTTTAGAAGCGTGTCCCCCCTCGCTTTTTCTTCCTCGGCTCCCGGAGATTGCCTGCTCGTTGGCTTATCTTTTATCGACTCGATTCAGCGTACGCTCTCAGCTCCGCCATGTCGGCAATGAGGCATCAACGCTGTACCCGGTTTTAATTTCGAAGAGATCATTGCGAAGAAATCCGCTTGAAAGCTCCCCGATCAGAACTTCTCTTGAAACGATCGGACATCGATCGCCCCGCGTCCGTAGCCGATTCACTCGATCCTTACCGAGTTCCGCTCCACCATTCCAGGTCGTTGGGGATCTCGCTCAATTCATGGTGCAGAACCACCTGAAACCTCAAGACATCCTCGACAGAGCCGAAGAACTGAGTTTTCCGACATCAGTCGTAGAATTCATGCAAGGATACATCGGGCAACCTCATGGTGGATTCCCCGAGCCTCTCCGTTCGAAAATTCTCAAAGATACGCACCGCATTGAAGGCCGTCCCGGTGAAAGTCTTCCCGATCTAGATTTAGAGGCGCTCAAGACTAAGATCCAGGAGCAATTTCCCAACTACAAAATAAGCGAGAGTGACGTCATGTCGGCTGCCATGTACCCGAAAGTGTTCGAAGACTTCGCCCTCTTCCGCAAGACTTACGGACCCGTCGACAAGTTGGAAACCCGGATATTCCTCGAGGGTCCGAAGGTCGGTGAGGAGTTCGATGTCGTGATCGAGCGCGGAAAAACCCTCCACATCAAAATGCTCGCGGTGTCGGCCAACGTGACCCCCAAGGGGGAACGCGAGGTTTTCTTCGAGCTGAATGGTCAGCTTCGTTCGGTGCTCGTGGTCGATAAAACTTTAGCTGAAGAGATTGTTTCGCATCCGAAAGCCGATAAATCGAACAAAGGGAGCGTCGGTGCTCCGATGCCAGGATCTGTGATAGACATTCGAGTGGAGGTTGGAGACGTCGTGAAGAAAGGGGATCCCCTGGTGGTGCTGAGTGCTATGAAAATGGAAATGGTGGTCCAAGCTTCGGTGGCCGGTAAAGTTAAGAACGTCGCGGTTACGAAGGATATGAAACTTCAAGGAGAAGACCTACTCGTGGAGATCGACCCGAGTGAGTGATGGGAGAGAATCGCCCTATTCTCCTTCTGAGATTGAGAGACTGATATGATTTCATAGGACCGTAGAGTTTTCCTCTTCCCGTCGCTGCCGTTCGCCTCCGTTCGAGGCGTCACCAAGCCAAGCGCATATGACTTGTTTCCATCTTCGAGACCCTTAAACGTCTAGAAAGCTCAGAGAACCCTCATTTGTCCGAGGTCTAGAAAAACCCGACCCACTCGGAGAGTTTCCCCCCAGCGGAGCAGTGCCTTGCATCGCGTGGTTTCGCGGTAGAACACGGGAACCTTCTTCCGATACATCGTATGATGCGTTTAAGAGTGTATTCATTTCGATTTGGTGTGTTATGGAACTCCACGTGTATAACGAAGCAGACCTGGCCTGTGGGGAACTCACACGAAGGGAAGACTTATACGCCGGAAATCATGACACGTGACTACGGTGAAATTTATTATCCCGGGGGATTATTGCTCGAATTGAGCCAGTGTTCAATGACTATGCTCAATAAATTTCCTGGGTATTACACGTCGGTCGTTTCTCCCTGGTCTGAAATGTGACGAACGGACCAGGTCCGCTGCGCAACTACACGAACCCAAACCACACATCTCAAACACACACGAGCTGGTGGGAGATTGAAATACAACTAGGTTGGGTGACTATCAATAACTCATCATCATTAATTCATTCCCAGGGAACAGTGATTCCCATCTACTTTATTTAGCATGTTATTTGATGCATCAATATGTCAAAATCTTTCAGTTCAATAAGTATCCAATAAACGATCTCGAGAAGACGGGCGTGCAACCCAAGTCACGACCAGCCGCATCGACCGCTTCCACCAAGCACACTCTCAGCAGCCAGCTGAGGGACCGTGCGCGGAGCGATGGAGAAGCGGCTGGACAGAGAATGACAGTCGGTGCCCTAGCGGCAGAGAGAGAAAACAGTCAGTAGAAAAGGAATCTACACACACGACGGTTACGTCCGAACCTCGACGAGACAAGTTTTCTCTCAGGGGTTCAAATCCCCGTTGTCAGTCTTTACAAAGTCGGTCAGGCCGGTGTCACCACACTCGCCGACCACCCCAGTGACTAGCGCACCCGTCTCCAGGAGAAACTCTAGTGATCTCTCAGTGTATTCATTGGAGCTCTAGGAGTGGGGTGCCACAATTTGGTGTCAGAAGAACTTCAAGGAACCCGCCCGAGTCAAAAGATCTCTCAGGCGATTCTCATTCAGACCAAAGGTCGTGCCCGGCACACCCGAAGAACCCGGCACACCCGAAATCCAGATTCATCCGACCAAGGTACAGTTGAACGTGGCCACCGCCACGCGTGCCTGGAAAGAAATCATCAAAAGAAATACCGCCCAATCTCAAGTGAGAAAGTGGGAACCCACATCGAAGACCCGATTGGGACAGATCAAATCCAATCAGAAACACACCGGCCCGAATTCACCGAAATCGCTCATCACCGCGGCTAGGCCTAACCAGTGTACCAAATCACGAGCCTCACCGTACCGGTGAACCATGAGTGACCCTCCTCAACAACCCGGCAGGGAAATGTCCCAAGAATCATTCGACCGGGAAAACTCAGCGTTTCTCGCGAATCAGTTCCAAACCATGAGAATGGACAGCGCTCCGACGGATAGCGACGAAGAGGAAATCTTCCGCAGAGCCGGCGCACCACCACAAAGACGACAGTCGATCCCAAGGAGTCATCAGGAAAACATCAGAAATCCGCTGAGCCCAAGGGCGCAGGCGTCGAGAGCGGCCGAAAGCCTAGTGTATCAACCCCAGGGGCCCGAACCGACGACCCAAACCCGAGGCTCAACCAACCGCCCCCAACCCGCAGTGAGAGGCTTCAACTACCTCAAAACTCGGGTTGAGTTTTACGTACGGAAAGCAGTTTCATTCTACGATGACAGTGAGGACCCAAAAGATTCGTTAGAACAAACAGACCGTCTCAAGGAGACCCTCACTGAACTCCTCCCACAGTGGGTGTCGGCTGTGGAGTCGACAACCGACGCCGAGCCCGAACTCGCCAACGAGTGCGTCGAAATCGAAGACAAGGTCAGAAGATCTCTGAGCTACCTCAAAAGACTCAGAATCTTCATTGTCAACAACATCAACGGCACAACCGAATCGACGTTCGCAAATTCACGAGTCGCTCCAAGAGCAGCAGCTGCGGAACCGAATCAAAACCCACCGGTCGGGCCCAGCGCCCAAGTTCCCCCACCTCAACAAAACCCAGAAAACGGAGGACGTCCATGGAGAACATCCACTCAAATAGATGACCAGGTCAGGGGCGGTCTTTCAGCTGAGCAAGCGCCATTCTCAGAGACTCCTCACATATCTCACATCGCGCAAATGCCACCACCAGAACAGACCCCCAGCCTAGGCGATCCGAACAACAGCCCCCCGGGACCAAGCTCCGCAACACCCCGGCCGGGAGCCCCAGAAAGAATCAAGGAGAACAGTTCTTCAGTGGAGGACCCAAAAAACTACCTCCCGAAGCTCTCGAAGAACTTCAAGTTGCCTCGATTCAATGGAGACGCCAAGGGCTACCGAAAATTCATGGACATGTTCGACACCTTCGTTCATGAACGGAACATCCCAGACCTCCAGAAGGTACTTCTCCTCCACGAGGCCCTCGGTGGCAAGGCCTACAACAGTGTGAAACATCTCAGTGTACGTGCGGAAAACTACCTCCCCATGAAGCAACTGCTAGAAAGGCTCTTTGGCCAAAAGAGCATGGCGGAGGACAGTCATCTGAGGGAGCTGGACCGTATCCTGTCAACCGGAGGGGACATCAGACCGGATAAGTTGCCCACCTTTGTAAATTCGATCTCCCAGCATATACTAGCTCTCATTTCCATCGGACACACATACGCAACATTAACAGCAGCATTCGCTAACAGAATCCTAGCCAGGCTGTCGTTCGCAACTCAACACAAATTCATGGACATGTTCAGGACATCCACAAACACCGAGTGCAAACTCGAAGCGCTCCTCTCATTCCTCGAAACGGAAGCCATCACATTCGAGGCACTCAGGGTGAACCAATCGAACAGATCCAGCTACGCAGAGTCCTCAAGTCGCCCGGGTCGAGATCAAGCTCCCCGCACGCACTTCAACCGCCCACAACCTCCGAGGCCGCAAAGTTATGGAAATCGCCACCGCAACTACCCAGAAAACTCGTCGTACAAGAATACGTCGAACAACTTCCACATCACAGCATCAACGGCCCGAACACCCTTCCGTCCTACAGCCCCAACACCTCAAAGATCTCAGGTCACGCCCTGTGTCTTCTGCGAGGCAGACCACCCTTCATTCAAATGCACCGCCCAGCTTACCCTCCAGGAGCGTCTGGAAAGAGTTAAATCAGCGGGAGCGTGCATGAGATGCCTCAAACTCAACCACCTCGCCAAGAACTGCCGAGAAGGACCCAAGGTCAACTGCCGGTATTGTAACTTCAAACATTACGCAATACTATGCAGCAAGGCTCCGATCAACACCAACACTCAGGCAACAAAAAACACTTCGGTGAACATCGCCACAGAGACCGGAAGGGACCCCACCTTCCTCTGGACAGCACACGTCAAGGCGGAAAGCCGAACATCAACCAAGATATGCCGAATCCTAATCGATCCAGGATCGGAATCTTCTCTCATCACCGCCGCCATGGCTCACACTCTGGGTTCAACACCCACAGAACACGTGAACATGGCGATGTCAACAGCAGGCGGCCAAATCACGAACATCTACAACTGTGGAGTTCACGAAATCACTCTACGTAGCAGATTCGATCCAAGAAAATCACTCAGGGTGAGAGCAATCGAGCTCAACTGCATCTCAAGAACCAAGTTCCCAATAATGAGGGAAACCTTCGGTCTTACCCCAGCAGCCGATCAGATCGGGAGAGACGAATCTGAATGGGTTGACGTCCTTCTCGGGGTTAAGAACCTAGCCAACATCGGTTTCTCGAACCCGAAAACTTTCGACAATATCTTCGCATTCGAAACGATTTTCGGATGGATCTTCGGAGGCTCCGAGGGAGCAACAAAATCCGAAATACATCTACCAAGATTCTGCGGATTCATCGCAGCACAACCGAGCACTTCGATCGTCTGTAACGACACAGCAACCTCCCCCCAGATCCCCCCCAGCAAGGCTGAGTCACCATCTGCAGTTCGAGAGAACACGATGGAAGACATAGAATGCCTCTGGAGATCCGAGGCTCTCGGATTAGAGGATGAAGCATCCAGCGAAATAAAGGAAGAGGAAGACAACCTCAACAAAGCCCTAATCGAGCACCTCGTGAAAACGACGCAAAGGGACAGCTCAGGGCGATACATACTCCGGCTTCCATTCAGAGACAACCTAAGGGCGTTGGGAGACAACGAAAACCTATCTCGCTCCCGACTTCACTCATTTCTCAACAAGCTCAGAGCTGATCCAACCAAGCTCAAGGCAGTGGACGATGAAATCAAGGGTTATATCGACGCCGGATTCGCGGAGGAAGCCCAACCGAAGACAAACCAGCAGCTGGCGCACTACCTTCCAATTCAAGCGGTCTTCAAGGCAAACCCCGAGGCTCCCTCCGGACTCAAAACCCGGATAGTCAAAGATGCAAGCGCCAGGCGCTCAAACGAAGCAGGTTTGAACGACGTCCTTCACCAGGGACCCAACCTGCTCCCTAACATTCTGAAGGTCATTTTCAAGTTCCGGCAATACCGCTACGTCATCACAGCGGACATCGAAAAGGCCTTCCTGCAATTCAGGATTGCTGAGGAGGATAGAACATTCCTCAGATTCCTCTGGCCCCTCGGGATCTCGGGCAATGAGAACGCCAGAATAAAAGAATTCTGGGCAACCAGACTCGACTTCGGTCTGGTGTGCTCTCCGTTCTTACATTGCCAAGGGCTTCGTCTCCACCTCCAGCACACCCAAGAGCTACACCCCAGGGACCGCATTTTCATCCAAGAAATTATAGACAATTTCTACATGGACGATATCCCAGCTGGAAGTAATGACATCCAGGATGCGAAACACAGAATTCAACTCCTATTCGAGATCTTCCAGGAAGCCCACATGCCTCTCAAGAAATGGTCCACGAATAGCTCAGAGCTTGCAGAATTCATCAACCACCACTCACCGATAGAAAACCCGACCGTATCACACGGTCTAGAAAACTCCAAATTCCTTGGCGTCCCCTGGAACCAAGTATCGGATACGCTATCCGTGCCAACATCAAAAGCGATCAGCGAGCTTCAGTCGGGCGAACCTTCAAAAAGAAAACTCCTTAGGGGACTGGCTCAAATTTTCGACCCTTTAGGGATAGCGGGACCGACAACAATAAATTCCAAAATCCTGCTCCAGAAGCTGTGGAAATCAAAACAAGGTTGGGACACACCGTTGGACGAAGCTTACAAGATCGAATATGCGGAATTCATCACGAGACTGTCTCAGGGACAGACATCGATCAAAAGATTAATGCTCACCCCGGACAACCGCATACAACGCAGAGAACTGCACGCTTTCGCCGACGCGAGCCTGACAGCCTACGGCTGCGTCATTTACCTGCGAGAAATTTTCGACAACGCAATACCAAGGGTTCACTTCTTGATTGCAAAGGGGAAAGTAAGCCCGGTCAGGCCGATGTCAATCCACAGACTCGAACTTTTAGGAGCTCTGTTATCGGCCAGGCTGGTGAATACCCTCACAAACCTAGTGGATCTCAAAATAGATTCGACCCACCTATACTCGGACAACTCCAGTGTATTGGGTTGGGTGAAATCATCGCCAGAACGATGGAAACCATACGTAGCAAACAGGATTCGACGAATTCACGCACTCGTCGGCCAGGTCGAATGGAGCTACGTTCAGTCAGAACACAACCCTGCCGACCTCGTTTCGCGCGGAGCAGACATCTCAGACAATCCAAACAAAAACCTCTGGCTCAAGGGGCCGATCTGGTTGAGTCATCGGGATCAGATCCCCACACAACTTCCACCTAACTCGAAGATCGGAGATGTATCCTCCAAGGAATTTGACGCCGAGCGTCGCCAGAATGTCGCCTGCATGGTCACATCGGCCACCAGGCACATCCAGGAAGAGTCAATTTTCTTCGAAAAAACATTTTCCTCATGGATCAAAGCGATCCGATTTTGGGCTCTGATGCAGCGGCTGTCGAAGAAAGCACAGCAAGCAAAATCTCGAGTTGCTCAAGGCATCAAATCCCAACAACATCCTCGGACCAACGAAAAACTCACTTTCGACGCTGAAGAAATGATCGAGGCGAGGCTTTCGCTACTCCAATTGATTCAAAAGACATACTTCAAGGAAGAATACGAAAACCAATGCTCAAACGTAAAGAAGAGCCATCAACTCTATTTATATAACCCGTACCTCGAGGAGGACGGACTCATTCACTGCAGGTCCAGACTGACCAGGTCATCACATTTCTCCGAGTCCCAGAAAAATCCCATCATTCTCCCAGGGAACTGTAACTTATCCCGATTAATCGTCCAAGATATTCACGAAAGACAGTGTTTCCACTCAGGGGGGATGAATGCCGTCTTGCAAATATTACGTCAAGATTTTTTGCTAATCCATGCAAGGAAAATTGTAAGACAGGTGATCAACTCATGCGCCACCTGCAGACTCTTCCACGGCGAGGCCGCAAGCCTCCCAACCCCACCCCTACCATCATTCCGTCTTGAGGAGGCTCCCCCTTTCACGAATACGGGCTGCGATTTCGCAGGCCCATTCAGATACAAAAAAGACTCAGGAGAAGTGGGGAAATGCTACATACTCCTGCTGACATGCAGCGTCAGCAGAGCAGTTCACCTCGAGTTAACGTACGATCTCTCCACAGTGGAAGTCCTAGGGGCGCTACAGAAATTCATAAATCGATTCCCATCTGTACGAACAATCACATCAGATAACGGGCTTTCCTTCCAAAGAGCAGCCAAAGAACTGAGAGTCCTGTACGAACATATCAGAAGCGACGAAGTCAAGAAATTTCTAGCCAACACCTTCATTAAATGGAAATTCATTACGCCCAGCGCACCCTGGTTCGGAGCGTTCTATGAACGCCAAGTTCAAACAATCAAACGCCCCCTGCGAAAGATCCTAGGGACCGCAATTCCACATTTCAGAGATTTCGAAATAATCCTCAGCGGTATCGAAGCGATGGTTAACAGCAGACCCATCACGACCGTCGCCTCAGGGGCGGACGAAATCGAAGCATTAACCCCGGCTGATCTTCTTTTCGGATACAGAGGCGGAACATTCCTTCCGGAGCACAAAGCGAAACCTCAAAAGCGGATAGATCAAGACAAAATCATTTTCTCCACAAGGTGGAAATACCAGCAACGTTTACTCAGCGCATACTGGAAACGATATCACGAAGAGTACCTACAATACCTGAAAACAGCACACAAGCAAACCCCAGCAAGGGCCAGGCCCTTAGCCGTTGGCGAAATCTGTCTACTACAAGGAGAAACGTTCAACAGGGCTCTATGGCCTCTGTGCCGAGTAATCGGATTTCCTGAAAACACCGACCCGAAAACTGCAAGATCATGCATCATAAGAACATCAACGGGCCAGGTCCTCAATCGACCCATCAAAAAACTCTACCCAATCGACCCAATAACCGACCCCAATCACGATATACCCAAAGCTCAAACTTCGCCCACAGCGCCACCGTGAGCATGAGGAGGAGCATGTTCAAATCTCAGAGCGCGCGCGCCAATGGCCATGACTCACGGAATTTCCGACCCGCCGTCGGAAATTCGGGGGGGACTGTGACGAACGGACCAGGTCCGCTGCGCAACTACACGAACCCAAACCACACATCTCAAACACACACGAGCTGGTGGGAGATTGAAATACAACTAGGTTGGGTGACTATCAATAACTCATCATCATTAATTCATTCCCAGGGAACAGTGATTCCCATCTACTTTATTTAGCATGTTATTTGATGCATCAATATGTCAAAATCTTTCAGTTCAATAAGTATCCAATAAACGATCTCGAGAAGACGGGCGTGCAACCCAAGTCACGACCAGCCGCATCGACCGCTTCCACCAAGCACACTCTCAGCAGCCAGCTGAGGGACCGTGCGCGGAGCGATGGAGAAGCGGCTGGACAGAGAATGACAGTCGGTGCCCTAGCGGCAGAGAGAGAAAACAGTCAGTAGAAAAGGAATCTACACACACGACGGTTACGTCCGAACCTCGACGAGACAAGTTTTCTCTCAGGGGTTCAAATCCCCGTTGTCAGTCTTTACAAAGTCGGTCAGGCCGGTGTCACCACACTCGCCGACCACCCCAGTGACTAGCGCACCCGTCTCCAGGAGAAACTCTAGTGATCTCTCAGTGTATTCATTGGAGCTCTAGGAGTGGGGTGCCACATGAAAAAACGCATTCCTTCTAAGGTACGATCACGCTGAACCGGTCACTCGGATAATCGGCGAGCCCCCTTCATTGGCCGCTTGTGCTCGGTCCCGACAAATCACTACCGATACCGTCCATGTTGTTCTTCTAGCCAAAAACTAGCTATAGACCCGCTGAAACGGCCCACCAGGACCGGGTTGTTACCCACGACCGATGTATATTCTCAAGTACTCCAGGTGATCAGGAGGTGATCCAGAACCCTGGCGGCAAGGGAAGCTCAGGAAATGCACAGAAATGTTCGTAAACTCGCCTCGACATCCGAGTGATCAAAGGACTCCACAACCAGTCGCGTACACAAGATTTTTCCTGGGGGGCAGGGGGGAGGGCTAGATCGGGTCTTCGCACGCCGCTGAGTTGCCAATTGTTATTCGCTCCTATGTCATCGCATCACGGAGGCCGCATCTGAGAGGGGGCTTACTGAATTGAATACCTATCTTATTCCACAGAAACCTGAAATATAGGCTCCTATGGGAGCCATAAAGACGGCTTACCCGTGGCTGGTGGGAATATATTGCTTTGAACGGCGGGAGATCTTGCTCTTGAGCCAAGCATCGCGTGACGCTGCACCAGTGTGTTCGTTCCCGCAACTTTCCGCCGACGTCGTGCGATTCCTTAAGCTTGTGCTCTGCTTTAGACGTCCTTAGCGCGACTTCACAGTCCGTCCGAAAACCCCTGTCCCTTCGATGTACGGCTAAGCCGAAAACCGCGAACTCCCGGGAGATCCGCGGTTATTGAATGCGGTTCACCACACATACCCTGCGTAATGGTAAGGCTGGAAAGAGAAATTATCGCGGTTCTAGGAAACGCAGATTCTTGCAAAGCCGACGGGAGATCAAGTCTTCCTTATTGATTCTTTTTCCGGGTCCCTATGATTAAGGCATTGCCATCCGCGATGGTAATTCCGAATGAGACTCGGCACTGATCCTCATGGATCGATCTGTCAACTCATCTGATCCCAGAGCAGGTGATCCTATACCTACATTCAACAAATCGAATGCCGGAGACCAACTTTATTGTGACGGTTCTGTTTCATAAATTATTTGACCAGCTCCGAACCAGGGAGAGAGGGGTTCGGTAACATCGGGAACTATGATCTTATGATACTTTCCAGCTCTGCATCGAGTGCTCGACATAGACGCCGAGCGCGAAAGGAAAGGTCATCCTTTGTACATCACATTGAACAGGCTACAACAAACAAACGAGATTCATGGCTCAGATCCTCTCCCACAGTCAAATCGTCGATAAATAATAAGCATGATGTGGAATACAATATCTTCTCATTCGCTGGGCAGGATATCTACGAGAAGATCGTCACCTTGAAGTCGCATTTCTTTCGAAACCGCAACGTTCTTGACTTTGCCAGCTATCGGAGCCTGAACTACCATCTCCATCTTCATGGCACTGAGCACGACCAGAGCATCTCCTTTCTTCACTGAGTCACCAGTTTGTACGCGGATATCTATCACAGTACCGGGCATAGGGGCACCAACGCTGCCCTTATTGCCTTTGTCGGCCTTCGGATGCGCCTCTATGACCTCGGCGAGAGTCTTGTCAACGATCAGAACCGAACGAAGCTGACCGTTCAATTCGAAGAATACCTCTCGTTCACCTTTCGGCGTTACGTTCGCACCAACAGCCAACATTTTTATGTGCAACGTTTTCCCTCGTTCAATAGTTACGTCCACCTCCTCGCCGACCTGCGGCCCCATGAGGAACACTCGGGTGTCCAGTTTATCCACCGGACCGTACGCTTTGCGGAATTTAGCGAAGTCTTCGTAGACTTTCGGGTACATGGCTGCCGACATCACATCGGTGTCCTTCATCTGGTACGCTGGGAATTTCTCCTGGAGCTTCGCTCGGATATCGTCGAAATCGAGATCTTCCAGGTGTTCGCCCGGTCGGCCCACAACTCGATGTGTGTCCTTAAGGATCTTGGATCGGAGGGGCTCGGGGAATCCGCCATGGGGCTGACCGATGTATCCTTGCATGAATTCAACGACGGAATTGGGGAAACTCAACTCTTCGGCTCTGTCCAGTATGTCCTGTGGTTGCAACCGGTTCTGCACCATGAACTGAGCCAGATCCCCTACGACCTGGAATTCGTTAAATTGTTGTTAAATTGCATGTTGAATTGAGCGTCACTCGAAACCCGGAAGCTGGACTCGAGCTGTCCCTGAAGTCATCGATCTATCTATGCTTGGGGAGTCATCGATGCGAACCTTTGACGATGGCGTCACTTTGATGATGTCTCCAAGGAGCAAGTTGGCTTGCGTGTAGGCTTTCTTCACTTTTTCAAAATGCTCTCCGAGACCCAGACTGAACGCTTGGAACTGGAGATTTGTATATTGACCTCCCGGGATCTCGTTCTCGTACACGTCAGCGTTTCCGGATTTCATTGTTGCGGTGCACTCGAACGGAGCGTAGAGCGCGCGCGTCTGCTCCCAATACGCAGAGTACTGACTCACGTCCTTGAGATCGATTTTAGTGTCGTCGGGTGTATGCTGAAGGCAGGCTACCAGGCCTCCCATCGTGGGCTGCGAAGTCATTCCTGACATCGAATCCACGGCGACGTCGACGACATCGGCCCCTGATTCGGCACAAGCGGCCATCGAGGCCACCCCGACCCCTGCGGTGTCATGTGTGTGAATATGGATGGGAACGGAAGGATGACGTTCACGTAGTGCTCCGATGAGGATCCGGCAAGCTTCGGGTTTCAGGAGCCCTGCCATGTCCTTTATGCACAGAACGTGCGAGCCGGCTTTGACGAGCTCATCGGCCAGCTTGAGATAATATTCTAAATTGTATTTGGTTTTGTTGGGATTCGATACGTCGCCCGTATAGGAAATGGCGGCCTCCACGACACCGCCTGCTTTGCCGACGGCATCGATGCCGAGCATCATGTTCGGCAGATAGTTGAGCGAGTCGAAAACCCGGAATATATCCATGCCGCAGCTTTTTGCGACTTTGCAGAATTCGTAGACGGCATTGTCGGGATAGGACGTATAACCGACCGCGTTAGCTCCGCGTAGGAGCATCTGGAAAGGAATGTTCGGGATGAGCTTGCGCATTTCCTCGAGGCGCTCCCAAGGACACTCGTATAAGAAGCGCAAAGCCACGTCGAACGTTGCTCCACCCCAGTTCTCCATGCTGTAGAAACTGTTGAACTTGTTCGCGACGAACGGCGATATCCTCAGCAGGTCGAACGTCCGAACCCTGGTGGCGAGGAGCGACTGATGTGCGTCTCGGAACGTTGTGTCCATCAGGAGGAGTCCATCGTGACGTCGGACGGCCTTCGCGAAGCCCTCCGGTCCCTCCTTGTCCAGTATGTCTTTGAAGCCCCTCGGTGCCATTTGGGTGCTATCGAAGTCGGGAACCAATGGCCGAATTTTGACGGGCTGAAGATTCGTCGCGAGCGGAGTCATCGGCCCATTCACAGCCACGTGGCCGAGATAGTACAGAAGCTTCTGAGCTCGGTTCTTCGTCGGGCTCAATTTGAACAGATCCGCATGTTCGTCGATGAAATTCGTGTCGAATTTACCTCCTAGGAAGACTTCGTTCTGAAAGACGTTCAACAGGAACGGTATATTCGTTTTGACTCCCCGTATTCTAAACTCTCTCAGAGCTCTCTCCATTTTGCTGGCGGATGCTTTCATGTTGTGCGCATGGGAAATTACTTTGACCAACAGCGAGTCGTAGTATGGTGAAATTATCGCTCCCGAGTAGGCCGAGGCGCTGTCGAGCCGGATGCCGAAACCCTCGCCGCTTCTGAATACTTCAATTCTTCCGCAATCGGGCTGAAAACCCTTGGCAGGATCTTCGGTCGTGATGCGACACTGTATCGCGCATCCTTGAGGTTTGATGACGTCCTGTCGGAGGCCGAGTTCTGCGAGAGTCTTACCGCCGGCGATTTGGATCTGGGACAGTACGAGGTCAACTCCAGTGATCTCTTCGGTGATTGTATGTTCCACCTGAAGGCGGGCGTTCACTTCGATGAAATAGTGGCGGCCGTCTTCGTCCAGGAGAAACTCCACGGTTCCCGCATTTGTGTAGCCTGCGAATTTGCAGAGTTTAATCGCGTCGTCGTGCATGGCCTTGCGCGCATCAGGAGGTATGTTCGAAGCTGGTGCGATCTCGATGACTTTCTGATGCCGTCTCTGGACCGAGCAGTCTCGTTCGTATAAATGAACAACTTCACCGGTCTTGTCGCCGAGAACTTGCACCTCAATGTGACGGGGGTGTTCGATAAATCTCTCAATGAACATCGCACCGTTTCCGAAAGCACTCTGAGCTTCTGAGACGGCTCTGTTGAAGTTCTCTTCAAGTTCCTCCATGGTCCGCACGACGCGCATACCGCGACCCCCTCCGCCGTAGGCAGCTTTCAGCATGACCGGCAGCCCATGGGTCTCGCAAAACTCCTTGGCCTTCGCGATGTCTTCGATGGGCTTATCGGTCCCCGGAACGACGGGTACTCCACAATCGATAGCGCACTTTCGGGCTGCGATCTTGTCCCCCATCTGGGCCATGACCCGGGGCGAGGGTCCGATGAAACGGATTCCGGCTTTTATGCACGCTTCGGCGAAATCCGCACGCTCCGATAGGAAGCCATAACCGGGATGTATGGCGTCAACATCATTTTCTCTGGCGATCCGGATATATTCCGGAATGTTCAGATACGCTTGAACGGGTGGTAAACCGCTTCCGATGAGATACGATTCATCCGCCTTCTGTCTATGCATATGCATTTTGTCTTGCTCGGAATAAACGGCTATCGATCGAATCCCCATCTCAGAACAGGCTCTGAACACTCGGATAGCGATCTCGCCACGGTTCGCGACCAGAATTGTTTTGATTGGTCGATTCTCGTTTTCCGCCGCCGTCGACTTCAATCGGCAGCTGATCCGGTTTCTATAGAGCTGTAGCAACCGATTTCCACAGATTTGGAAACGCATGATGGCCGATTGCCGCTCTAGATCGCGGTCTCACAATAATTTCAAAATCTCAGTAGGAGACGCGCGAAAACTTCTGAGCTCGCCGAATTTCCGCGATTCGGATCTCCGATGTATCGCGCGGAGACCCACGAGGACGAGTATCTGTTCCAAAGATTCGCGACAGTCGACACGCACGCACGCACACGTAAACACCGGGTCACAGGTCGTTCGGAGACGATCGCTCTCTCTTAGAAGGGTAGCACTTCGCGCGAACTATCTTCATTTGATTGCGGGTTTATTTACAATTGACTGAACGGCCCGACTGCTGGGAAGTTCGATCGCCTTCTTTTATCCGCTCGCCGGCTCCGTCCCGATACTGGTCCTCCTCGTAGTCGGAGAAAGAGTCCTCGGACCGACTATCGGTCAGTCACCTCTCAGACGCGAGCCAGCTGGAACTCTCGAATCTCCTCACTTCCCTCGTACAAGAGCTTCACCAAGACCGTTACTACTGTAGCTCTCCCGTGAGCACTGGCGCGACTTTCAGAGAACAGCAGAGCACGCACAGACCCTTCCGCGAGTTCGGTTCCGAGACACGCCCATGGCACGCTGGCGCAGATCTGGGTTCGAACCGCTCGCTCACACAGGCGGCTCCGGGTCAGTGGATGGACCCCCTTGATTCTTCGATCGATTTCGAAGTCCGAAGATGGGAGAAGATTTAGGCAGTGAGTCTCGGGGGGTGTCGTGAGTCGGGGCGAATCGCCTCATTATTAACCTCGACCTTCCCTAAGAGTCATATGTGAAATCACCCGCTCATGGCGATCCGTCTCAGAAGTTGAGCCCGGTACTCGAATCGGCTCATCAATTCTTGTACGCTGGGAAATCATAGGCCGAGCGAGCGGATTATATGCAATCTGTTCGCCATGTTCGCCGTCGATTTGCGGAGGACTCCAAACCACTCGAATTTCCGCACAAACTCCCCCGCGATCGACCCCCGATCGATGCGCCGTCCGCCGCAAAGAATCGCTTGCGGTAATTTCGCAAGCGGAACGACCCCGCAAACGACGGCCTGCCCGACGAACGAGCTGCTCATTCGGTCTACGAACACATTAGTTTGAACGCCATGAGAATGAGACCTCCGGATAATCAGAGAATCTCCAACATCGCACGTTTTTATTACGCGAATGAAAAACACCGAAACTCTGAAGCCCAAAAAACACGGTGACTTTCCTCCTCTCGAGTCATCGTTGACGTGGATCAGGAAATTGTTGTTCACCCTCTGTTGGGCAATTTTGCGGGTTGTAATCGGGTTGTCGCATCTGCGTACTAGGTTGCAAGTGCTTCTGTAGGAGCATGTGCATGTTCGGCGGAGGGAGCGGCACAGGCTGGCCAGTAATCGGATCATACGTGTTTGCCTGAGATGAGTCGATCGTTACTATGTTATCGAATAAAAAGGGTATCTACATATTTCTGGGGTTTCTGATCATGATTTCCGATTCCGTGGGGGGAAGACTCTCTCAATTCATCATGGGGGTCCACTAGTAGAGGGTCCAGCTCACTCGTGGTATAGGCGGCGGGAATTGCGGGTTCTCGGCGAAAGGGTCGTATCCGCGGAGGAGGCCCGGTGGGTAGAAACCAGTCATGCCTGAAACACGATCACCATACAAGGGTTGATGGAGAATCCTGAGCTCAGGTACGGAACCAGTCGGGGTGCGGGGGACCTCGAACATAACTCCGAGCCTCGACTCACATCCTGAGGAAAAACGGCGTACCGGCAGGATCGATGAGACCGGGGGGCAGAGGCTGGAACGAGAAGGGCGGCGGCGGCGGCTGTCGGTTGCCTCCAGGATTCTGGTCCATAGAGATGTGATTACGGCGGCGGTCGTCCTCGCGATTCGGGGTATCGATCAGAATTTCCGCGCTTCGTTGTAGATACGAGACCAATACTGGCCGCCCAGCTGCTCCTGATTCTTCGAAGATCGCATTGTAGATGAATTCTGATTATGTCACCGATGCGAACACCTTTCCCAGACTACATTGGGGAGCAGCATCGATTTCCGAGTACCCAACATTTCCCGTACCTCTATGCCGACGCCAAGTGTCTCGCCATTGAAGCGGCCAGAAATCGGAATGATGAGGGTCTGAGCTCGCAGGAAGCCTCGCAGTCATACGACATACCCCTCCACCGGACTAGAGCTTGGGGTGGGGAAGAACTACCGAGGATAATGCTTGTTGCTTTCTCTCCGCATCGACCGACTTTCCTTCTTTCCGGGACACAAGGATAAAGCACGGATGAGCTGTGAGGGAGAGCACGATCACGAGACAGACGAATGGGATCGCAGATCGTTGGCCAGTCAAGAAATGCGGGAATGCCGTCGACTCAAGAAATTCTGGCCCAACAGCGAAGCGCGGCTACCTCCTGAACGATCAATTGCACAGAATCTCGATCTACAATTCTTAGGCGAAGTATCTTCGTTTCGGAAAATAGCGGAACATACCGTGTTTATTCTAATAGAATGGCATGCTCCAATAGAACGGCACCCGTATGAGATTTCGGAGAATAGAGCGGCATGCTCCAATAGTACGGCATGCTCTAATGGAACGGCAGGGGGAAATAACTTGAGGGAAGGCGATAAAAATTGTTAGATTCCGTGAAGATATCAAGGGTATACAAAACGATTCATCGTAAGTGAAGGCAGAGATCGTTTGAATACTCATTTTTGGAAAAAAACACGGGTAGGCTTCATCAGCTTCAATACGGACCGCCTATCCGATGGGAGATCGAAAAATAGAGCGGCATGCTCCAATGGAACGGCATGCTCCAATAGACCGATGCCTGATGAGGGAATCGAAAAATAGAACGGCATGCCACTCTATTAGAATAAAAACGGTATGCACCGTGAGCTCCATGCGTCAATTTTCACTCCGGGTCCGTTCATGGGAGCCCCGATAAGAAATAATCGATGACTTGGGAAATTCGGACGTTTGGCGGTTCTTCTCAGTGCGGGGAAGATATCAAGAGCCCTCTTATGGATGACTGAGCGAAGAAGGAGCACGGAGAGAGAGAGAATTTTCATAAGATGAGAGCTTTTTAGTGCGCATGTCGCATCCCACGGCCGCGCGATGTTTCAGGAAAGTGGCGCATATCGAGGGGTCTCTCTTCGTAGGTCACAGCTATGGCGCGGTTTCAGAGGCTCGGGGCGGCGACTACAAAGGACGACAATGAACCTCAGAAGGCCTCTCGGCCAGTGCTGGGGTTGTGAGGCGTGAATTACACAATATTCGGGGGAGGTTGCAAGCGTCGACCGTGAGCGAAAGTGAAACCGGCTCTCCGAGATGCGACCTGAGCCGAAGTTCGAGAGAGGTTGGGTCGACCTAGACCCCAGTCCGAAAATCCGTACTGGGAAGAAAGAGAGAGATAATGAATTCTGGGGTAGAGACCACCTCCATGATAAGACCACCTCCATGATAAGACCACCTCCATGATAAGACCACCTCGGGTATCAGACTATTCTTTCCGGGAGTCAGTAGACTCCCGAAACGGAGGACCTGCCCAATAAAACCACCCTAGTGATCAGACCGCTCGCTTGATTTTTCGCAGGTGGTCTCGTCAGGCAGCTCTCACTGTCAGTATTCGCGTCAGCCGGGTAGCGTCGGTGAATTCAGCCCTTATGAATAGCTCCTCGCTCGGATACTGTGTTCAAAACAGCTATGAGTCCCGCCATCTAAGAAGCTGTCTCGTAACCTTTCTCCGTCTTCGGACCGCCCCGGGCGGCACTTCCTACGGAGCATTTAGGGGCGGCATTTCGGGGTTTTGCATCCAAAAAACGGAGTGTTTTCGAGGAAAAAATATCGGGCGGGGGGCGGCATTTTCGTCGAGCACGGTGAAAAAACTGGAAATTTCGAATCACCGCCCCGAGCGGCACTCCGGCTCGCTACGCCACTGATTTGATCCCCGCCCTCTCTTGATGATCTTATTCGAGGTGTGCCGGGTTTGAAGAATCTCGATCCGAGGAGGGTCCATCCCTGATCCTGCTAGGAAAATCCACGTTTTTGTCGCGTTCGGAAGAACGCCCGGACGAACTCATCTACTCGCTCTCCGCGGACAGCCGAACCCGGACCCCCAAGCGCTCCGACTGATGATCGATCCGACTGACGACCTACGAATGGTTCCGCAGTTCAACCAAACAGGGAGTTTCATTGCGATGATGCGATAGCGGTAGATCGAGCAGACCGTGATCGGAAGATAGGCGGAATTTATTCACGCGAGGATCGCTATCATCAACACAGTTGAGCCTCGATCTGGTCGAGTCCAGCTCCTCTTTCGTCTCTCCTTCCATCTCGATGGAATCCGATTGAATATCTGAGCGATGCAGTCTGGGCTATATTCGTCTTAATTCAGATTCGGAGTGAGTTCCCTGGAATCACGCCGCGGCCGCAGAAGGAATTCGTTCCAACTCCATGGAGAATGTTTCCCGCTTCCTCATCATCTTCGGTACGCTTGACGGCCTCATTCGGTATGAAATCGTGCGCTCATCGTTAGAGTTCCTAAATTTCGGACATTTCATGTCTATCCAATCCGCAAGAGCGAAGACCGACGACCACACCGACGAGGGAATCGCCTCTGATGAGTTTTCCCTGTTGTCGGACGATTTGGGAAACGCTAGAATGAGAATACCGCAATCGGATCTACCCACATTCGAGAGTCAGAAAATGAAAATGTCCGGAAAGGACTCTGCTCATCACTTCCGGAGGTCTTGTGGCGAAGCCGAAGCTTCGATCGTATCTGCCCCCAAATTCGAGAATTCTCGATAATT